CTTTCTTGAAAAAGTACTTTTAAGACTAGTGATCTACTTGTGTGGTAAACATTATTTCCTTGTTGTCTTCATTATCTTACATGTGAGGAAGTTTCAAACCTCTGAAGTATGTGTCTTATCTGACTTAAGCCGATAGGCCACTGATAGATTTAGCTCTTTATAGATCATGAGTAAGTCCATAAGAAAAATAGGATTTTAAGTCAAATGATAAAGAATAAATATTATTAAGTGAATTCCAGTTATCCTGACTCATATGACCATGTATAGGGTTTCTGGCAAGCAGCTGGTGGGTTTGAACCACCAACCTTGTGGTGTTAGCAGTCCAGTGCTCATCCTATAGTGCCACACCAGTTCTCTAAACTTAGGGACTCCCAAATCATCAATTTAAAGTTCCTTTTGTGCTTCTTTATTTAAAAAATTTATTCAATTATGAGTTTTACTTGAGTTGGGGCATAGAAAGGGGTAAATCTTGTAATTCTGTTGTATCATTAGATCAACTGAATAATGTTTATAAATTTGTGATTAATTCTGAGTTTAGCTCCATAGCCCCAAGTATGAAGAACATATATACTGAACAAGCTGAACACAGGACCATTGGGGATGGGTTGCTTTGGCCAAACAATAATCTATGCCAAGAATCTGATGCAATAGAGAAGGAAATACTGTCCCACTTGAAAAAACAGTCATCAACTTGTTTGTGTGTTTTAATATAGTTTAATTTCCTGGTTTTACATATAGGAAATCTTAAAAACAACAACGAAATGTTTGGGAATGATAGAGAAACCAAAATACATATCAAGGCACAGGAGAATGCACAGAAAGAGTGGTAGCTAGTGGCAAAACCATACAGGCAGCACTTTTCTACTCTAATCTTCTCTGCCCACATCCTAAAGCCATTACTAGATGAGACACACCATGTTTTTACTGTGTAAGATGTATCTTGGTTCCCTTGTCTTCCATATAATCTTACATATGAGAGAACTTCATTAAGCTCATTTATTTTCGATTTTGAATGGATTTGGAAAGCATCACTGGTATTGAAGCTGCTTTGTAGTGCTTGATAATCACATCAGGTATTCTCAAGAGACCTCCCCTTGATCATTTTAAGGGGGCAAAAGATCCCTTAGATCATTTATGTATCTTACTGGTCCCTCTTATAACAAATAAAATCACCCAAATCAACAAATAAAATCCCCAAATTAGTAGAATGAATGAAATTGCTCTTGGTGAACATGCACTAGGGAGAAATGTTAAGCAAATTATTCAGTGGAATGAAAAGGTGAGTTTTGTTCTGTCAACACTACATTTGAATTTTCTGGAGGAACCCCCACACCAATATTCTGCACCTTGAGGACAATAAAATGAGAAATGTTATCTCAGGCTAGAAGCTAAAAAAGAGGCAATCATAAGAAAACCCTGGAGAATTAGGAAGAAACAGGAGCTGTGCAGTTGGGAGTAGTTCTTTAGGGTACCTTCCTCCCTTCTCCTTTACCAGCACTGCCTTCCTTTCTTTCTATTTGGATCCCCGTAGCCTACTCCCTACCCCATTTCGTCTGCTACAATCTCTTCTTCCTCTGCCTGCCTCTTCCTGGCATTACTTTACTGCTCTTTTACCAACCTGAACGTTGGATAAAACCTAGCTCAGGTAAGAACTTAATTACTTTCAAAATATATAAGGGATTTGGGAGGGAGGCAGTATGCGCACAGTGGAATAAGAGTCAGAAGCCTAAATTCTCTTTTCATTTCTGCCACTTGCAAGCTATATGACCTTAGCCAAGTCATTTCACCTTTCTGGGCTTGACTTTCTTCTTCTGAAAACAAAACAAAACTGAACCAAAATGACCTCAAAAGAGTCCCTTAACCCTAACACACACTTTCTTTTTTTACTGGTGAGGTAGAATATATGGTAAGAGATCAATGGAAGTCATTAGAATGTTTGCAGTTCTGAGGTTTGAAACCCCTAACATTGGTTATGACATGGAGTCCAAAGCATACTGTGGGGCCAGTATTGATTTTGAGATTTTAGTGGTGGCAGAAGAAAACCTTGCGCATCCATAGTGAGCCCTCAAATCATTAAGAAACATCCTGTTGAGGTATAGCTCAAACCTCATGACAATAATGACTCTTTCGAGGAATAAAACTATATATCATCAAGACTTCTGGACCCACCTATTTCAAATAATGCTCAATATAATAAAATTTTACTATCATTAAAATTACTGTTTTAAGACCCTTTAAATGTATTATGGCTACAGTGTGCTGACTTGCCCTTTTATAGGCCAGTCTGCTTCCTTCAGTCCCTGCTCTCAAAGGGGAAATCCCATCACCTCAGCTAACCAGACCGAAGAAGAGAGTTGGACAGCCAATGGTGGCCTCTCCTAATCAGAGGTAAGAAATCTTAGGACTTGGAACTGCAATTTCCATCTGTTTGTATAGATTTTGAAAAAAATCTTCCTTTCAACCTCAAAATTAGTGTATGAGGGAACCATCCTCAGTTTGAGTTATCTAGTAGAAGGGGAGAGGCCGGTCTTATTATTCTTTCAAATCAAACAGAGAGGAGTACTTTAGTATACACTGTATAAGACCTTTGGACCACATTGTAAACCCAGGAAGAGGCAAACAACCCTGTAGGAAAACAACTTCTGAACATCTTGTTCTCTGACTAGCCCTGGATCTCTTCTACCTAGAAGTGTGTCTGGTTGTGACAGCTTCCCAGTGGACCCTGTACTGGGATGAGGCGCTCTGATAATACTGCATTTTCTACTCACCCTCAAAGTTCTGTCATCATTTGCCTACTCATCTTCAGTCTCTCCTGTAGAATATGGGTCATAGAAAGGTAGTTTTAAACAGCAAAACAAATGTAGGGCCACCTCCAATATAGGGCAGGAATGTAGGCTTTAAGATGACTTTGAAAGCAAGATCATGAAAAAAGGTTTCATTGCAAACCTATTTTGTTATTACTTTTCACCTCCTATTTTATCTTGATGGTATTAGTATGAATCCAAAGCAGTTTTCTCTGGTAATACAAACCTGGTGTTTTCTTACCTGTTTCTCCCAACATCATATTGAGTTGGGAATAACCCTCCATCTGGTCTCTGTCCTCTTTATTTCTTCATTTGTACTTAGTATTTTTTATACTTTCCCTTCATCTAAATCAAGAGTTCTCCATTATGGCTACCTCTCACAGAATAACCAGGAGAGCTTTAAAACTACCTCAGACTAGTTAAATCAGATCTCTGGAGGTGGGGCCTATTAATAGGTATTTTCTTAAAGTTCCCATATTCTAATGGGTAGTCAGTCAGTGTTGAGCCTGATTTAAACTCTTTTTGGAAATCCAGGCTGCCAAGATGAAGAATCTTTCTCTGCAAAGCCAACTATCAGTTCTCTAAATCACCAGCCTTTATAGCATACAGTGTCTTAAGAAAAGTTAGCTGCAAGCAGTAGTAACTGCTGCTGCTATTATGTGGTAGAGATTAATAAAACGAAGAATTCACGTCCACACTGATGTTTTGACATTGTTCTCTCCTACTTCTCCAAGTGATCTTTCATGCGCTCTATTGGTGAATCCTCTTATTCCATCCATACATTACACAAATTTTAGAGAGTCCAGGATTCTTCTGACACTTGTGTCTTCTCCCAGGAGATCTCATCTCACACTCTTGGATTTCATTCCACCCAAATCTATATCATTAGCCCACATTAATCCCCTGAAGTTTCAGAACCAGTGTATCTAGCTCCTTACTCAGCACTGGACTTTGAACAAGGTCAGCAGTTCAAACCCATGATCATAACACTTAACAGCAACAACAACCATTTTGCTCTATCTGGGCATTCCACACTCACTATGCATTCCCCAATATAAGATATGCCCATTCTCTTGTTTGCCCTATTATATTAGTACTAGCTACTTATACTTTCAAGTCAGAAAACTGGGATTTATCTTAGATTATCCTTCTCCCTCTACTTAACCATTTTATCCTTCCTCTGTGTTTCTGGGTCCCATCCACTTCTGTTTCCACAGCCACTACCCTTTTGCCTACCCCATTTCTTAGCTGTACTCCCCACCTTCAATCTCATTGCCTTCTACCCCATCTCCTACTCTCCACGCTGCATTTTCCTTGCTTAAAAGCAGAAGCCTCTCCACAATCTACTGCCAAGTCTTACCCTCCGGCAAGTTTAGTCGACTAATATACCACTTTGTAAAAGGCCCAAGAGTCTTTTTGGAACAATAAAATAGAGCTGAGGAGATGAATGCGTACAGTCAAGTGGTCTATACTTAATTTAGGGGGGTGGAGGACTGGAGGACAATATTAATATAGAGAAAGCCAAAAGTTCAACTGGATCAGGTTGAGGTTTTCATAGTATATGCATACTAAGCACTTACTCTCACTTCCCCTCACTTGTGCCCTCCTTATCATCATGCCTACCTCAAAAATTCTTTTCTCCAAAGCCTGACTCTGATCTCACAAGCTCTCATTATCAGCCCCCTTTCCTTAACTTCCTGAGGCTGTTAGCTGGCAGAGAGCTCAAGGTGTAGACCTCTCTGCCCAGGAGTAGCCTTTGGATCCCTCAACCTTTTCAGAATCCCAGCTTCCTGACCTACAAGACGTATCATTTAACTTCTATGGGGATTAATTTCCTAATCAGTAAAATGTGCATGATAGACTCTTACTGTCCAAAACTGGAGAAGAATGGTTGCGTTAGTTAATACGTGGCAGCGGTACGTACTACCATGCACCTTACCACCTTAGCCCAACAGCAAACAGTAAATAACTGGGTTGTTGCAGGGCTCAGGGGCCGTAGGCTCATAGTGGGCCAATAGGAAGTAGAGGCGGGTGCTGGGCCCTCCCCCCACCCTATCCGGCTTTCAGAAGCGCTAGACCTAGTCCCGGACGGGTGGGCGGGGACTTCTGATTGAGTGACGGCAGGTGGCCCGCCCCGGGCATGACGTCGCCTTAGTGTTGTTGTCCGCGGCCGCACGTGGTCGGCTGAGTCCACCTCGGATTCAGAGCTGCACGCCGCGTCCTCTTCACGAGCTGCTTGCCTTGCTCTTCTTCCTGCTCGCTATGTCCACGTCCACCAGCTGCCCGATTCCCGGGGGTCTGGACCGGCTGCCAGACTGCTACAGCACCACGCCGGAGGGCACACTTTACGCCACTACCCCGGGAGGTCAGTGGGCCGTGCTGCCGGAATTCACATGCAGCGCAGCGGGCAGGCCAGCTCATGCCTCCAGTGGGACTGGGGCGGGAAGGTGCTGTGCTGGCTTCAGACTAGCTTGCAGGTCATGAGTAGGTACCAGCTTTAAAGGAGGCGGTTCAGAACTGAGGCTGTATTCCCCAAAACTTTGAAGTAATGCAACAAATCCTTGAACTAGTAGTATCCGCGTGATTCTGGGCTGGAATCCTTTACAGTGGTCTGGGTTTTGGATGCCTTCCTCATCAAACCGCCTTTTGCAACAGTGCCTCCTGGGAGTAAGAGCAGAGTTCCAGCAGAGCATGGCCTCAGCGGAAGGCAACATAAGTAGAACGGGACTGGTTGGTGGCTGTGTGGTTGGGCGAGTAGCCTGGGATCACGAGCTCCTGCTGGGCTCCCAACCCAAGGGTTCCTGCCACGTTGAGACTTAACGGGAGGGGTGAGAACTGGGCAGGGCCTTTAAGGACAAGAGTAGGGCCAAGTTCTTCAGGGCTGGGCCGTATAGGACTTGGGAGGAATCAAGAACAGAACAGTATGTCCCAGTGTTTAGAGGGAAAACAGGTGTGGGCAGGAACATAGCTTCCCTTGTAGAACACAGGTGGCAGCACTGCTATTTGACTTCTAGATTCAACTGCGGCTGGAAGGTGAGGTCCCACCGTGTGAACCAAAGCAAGAAAAGTCCCCTAAACCTAAAAAGCCCCTGCCTGGACCAGCTGGGGCTCCCCACTTGCTTTATGGTGCTTACTCTTAGGTTGGGTGGGATTGTAAGCCTTTAAGTGCTGGAAAAGCTAGTCAGCCAAGTTCCTGGCTGGGATGTACAACAGACCTTTGATTTACAAAGAAATGCAGTTCTTGGATCCCTAAAAAATCTGTTTGGAGCCTCAGCCCATTCTGTACCCAAGCTCCAACTCTTACCTCAGCACCCTACCTCTTGATAGGCACCAGGATCATCTACGACCGAAAGTTCCTGCTGGAGTGCAAGAACTCACCCATTGCTCAGACACCTCCCTGCTGCCTCCCTCAGATTCCCGGGGTCACAACCCCAACAGCACCACTCTCCAAGCTGGAGGAGCTGAAGGAGCAGAAGGAGACAGAGGAAGAGATACCCGGTAAGGAAAACCAGGAAACTCACTGCAGTCCAGTCAATTCCAAGTCACTGTGACCTGAGAAGATAGACTAGAATTGTTCTATAGGATTTCTGAGACTACATTTTTATGGGAGCAATAGCCTCAGTTTTTCCCTAAGGAGCAGCTGGTGAGTTTGAACTGCTGACTTTGCAGTTAACAGCACAACACTTAAAGTAACCACTGCACCACCAGGGGGGCTTCTTTTGGAAAGGAACCAAGGGCCTAAAGTTAAGAAATGTCCCCAACCCCCCTTTTCAGATTTCCTTGCTAAATACTGGGGGGGAGGGGGAGAAAGGTGTTTCAATTCCAAAAGGAATTAAGGGATTTCTGCATTGAGTATGAATCTACAGGCCATTTGCTCAGCCCAGCAACTATTTTTTCTTTCCAGATGACGCTCAATTTGAAATGGACATCTGATCTGGTGCAAATGACCTGGTGTGTGGAATTAAAGAGGGATCCTTCATGCCGCTGCTGCCACCACCTCTTCCTGGTGTATCCAAAGGCCAGCTGGCCTCATCTAATCTGGAAGGGCGTGGCCTGTTGGTTCTTGGCCTCCCTTAGTTCTGAGGCAGCTAGACCAGGGATTGGAGTGGGCAATTTGCCAAGCCCATAGCTCTACTTTCTCTTTGGTCTGTAGTCCGTCCCTCCCCTTCCTCCCTGACCCCCAGCCCCCTTGCTCAAGGGTTGGGACTTGGAGATGGAGTATGTCACCTTCTGGCTGCTTAGTAAACATTCAAAGAAAAGCCTTGGCTCTAGTGTTGTTCTCAGTGCTGATCTTCCAACTTCAGCGATACTTACCCCCCTAGGAAGTATCTCATCAGGCCGGGTTAGGATTAGAAACTCCATTTCTAGCCCACTTCCAGAAGCAATAGTCACACCCCTGCCAAAAACTGTTCCCAACTTTCCAGGAAGCAGCCTTCCTGGAACTGAGTCTCTCCAGTGACCCTTCCCCTATTCCGAAGTCTCTTGAAAGACTTTCAGTCATTCCTGGGCTCTGCCTAGGCCGTTTCTGCCACCATCTCCCTCTTAGAAGTACCAGTCCCTTATCTAAATGCTTGAAAACCTGTATTCTTCCTCCTTGTAGCAAGATAGCCATCAGGGACATCTCTGGCCCCTGCCACCCCGCTCTGTTCTCAGGGGATTAGAAGAGACATTAGGGTCCAAATTGAACTCCAAAGTGAAGCAAGCACCGTGTTAAGTGAAATGGATAAAAAACCAAAATCTCACATCTAGTCTTTTCCATTTCAATTTATTCAGCAGGGATCCTGCTCTCAGTAGCTGAGCTAAATTCTGTAACACCTGTGTATCAAGGGTGATGCAGTGTAAACAGGGCAGTCTTTCTTTCCTTTTCATCCCACACTATTTAAACCTCTGTTCTTATGCTGAAATGAAAACATCAAAGACAGGGCTGCTCAGCTGACCAAGGATTGTGCTTTTTCAGTCCAACTTTGGGGAAAGCAGCAGGCAGCAATTGGATGAAATGGGGGAAGGAATAGAGAGGTTTGCAAGGGGCAGGGCAATCAAGGACACCAGAGGGAACCAGTTTAGTATAGAAGGGCTCATGGCTTCCACCCATTGAAACATTGAGATGTTTTTATTGAAATGCATATGCTCTGGGTAACAAATGACCTCCCAGTGACCCATGTGAGACCTCTTCCCCAGAAGTAATTGAAAGCATGGACCCCAATGGAGCAGACAGTCTCATTAGTGGTAAGAGGGAGCCAAATTAGAGAAGGCCAAGACATAGGAGATGGTGTGAGGCAAATCTGGGGAACCCACGGGATTATGGAGCCCCAAGGAAGCCTGGTACAGTCTGGTTCTCTTCAGTTGTAACTTCAGTTAGAACTTTAGTGGCTTCCTCCTCTGAAGATAGACTCTTCTTTTCCGCAATTAATCTCTTAACTCCCACCATCCACTGACTGACCTCAGTCACATGATCGACCATAAGTGAGCGGTGAATGTCATCTGCTGTGTCCCACTGGTGGCTTGAAAGCTCTGAGGAAAGATAGTTGTTGTTAAGTGATGTCGAGTCCGTTTCAACTCATAGCGATCCTGTATAGGGTTTACAAGGAGCGGCTGGTGGGTTTCAACCGTTGGCCTTTTGGTTCAAACCAACCTTGCAGTCCAGTGCTGATCTTATAGCAGAACCACACCAGGACTCTGAGGAAAGATTAGTGCTAAACAAGTTGCCTGGGCAAAAGAGGCAGCTCTCTGCTTCTAATCACCCAAAAAACTCAGACTGTTCCAGCTTAGTCAACCATGGCAGGACCCACCCATACCTCGCACCAGCAGTGCCATCCTCTTCTTCACAGGCATTGACAGCTTCCCTCCAGCCCACTGTTCCTGCAGCAGTGCCAGGCGTCGGCTGATGTCATCACATACCTGCTTCTGAGAGACAGAGCCCCCTCCAAGTCAGTGCTGCCTGCCCAGCAAGGAAAGAGGGGAAAAGGTTGCACCACATAGGAAGTACCAGCTCTCTCTGGATCATTTACTTTTGTCATACTGTTTATAGCTGATTCTTTACCCAAGGTCAATGGCTCCCTAAGGAACTATGGATTTCTCCCCAAGAAAAATGCACATATGGCTAGAATTTTTAATTTTCCTGGGGCTTCGAAAAACCTCATCCTGTAGTGTTACTTTATAGATAAGGAAACAAGATCAAAGAGGTGGCAAAACCATGCTACTTGCCCTACAGACATTTCCAAGGTCTTTTGCTTCCAGAGAACTCTGTAAAATCAATATACAATAGAGCTTCAAAAAGTTTGTGGAAAAATGCCATCATCTTATAATTCCAAATCAGCTGGAGGCATAGGAAATTAGGCTGTGACAAGTTTCCAAACGCAGAACCCACTGCCATCAATTCTATTCTGACTCATAGCAATCCTATAGGACAGAGTAGACATGTTCTACAGGGTTTCCAAGGCTGTAAATCTCTACAGAAGCAGGCTGCCCATTGACCTTTCAGTTAGCAGCCCAGTGCTTAACCCATGGTGCCACCAGGGTGCTACATTACAGTCCGTAATGGGAGTTAAACTGAACTCTTGTTCCCACAAGTCACTTCTACTGATTAGTATTCAGAAGTCCCAAAAACCCTCATGAAATTCTTTGCAGGTCTGGGAATTCCTTTGCAGATTCTGAAGGGACCATACTCCAGGTCAAAGAATCTACCTTTGAGAGCCAACAGCACCTAACTGTCATTGGGAGTGCTCCCCTCCACCAAATGGTGTGTCAGGGTCAGACTCCATTGAGCTTACCCTCACGTGGCCACGGCAATCCTCCAATGCCTGCTCCAAAGGTCTAAGTACATCCTCTAGCAGAGTCTCAGATTCGATGACTGGGAGGCTTGTGGGCTCTACACTAGAGGCAGAACAACTCCCTACAGGTGGGAGCCCAGGAGCCTTATTTGAAGGAGGCGGAGGTCCTGTTGGGGGGTGCCCAGCAGTAGTTTCTGAGGCAGTGGCTGAAACAGTAAAGCAGGATCAACAAAGTTTAGAAGTAGGAAGGCACAACACTAAATCCACCCTAAATTATGTAACTTGCAACAAAGAAATAAAATAGTGATGCGATAAAAAAGGAATGGGAGAACCTCTGTGGGCTTTTGAGTTGGTTCTGACACATAGTGAACCTGTATAGGGTTTTCTTGGAGCAGCTGGTGAATTTGAACCCCCAATCTGGCAGTTCAAACTGACTGCAGTCCAACGCATTAATCCACAGTGCCATACCAGGGCTCTAGTTCACATTAAGAATTTAACAACTGTGTGATCTGTGACAAGACACTTAATCTGAGCTTGGTTTACTCATGTAAAATGGAGATACACAAATAGGGCTATAATGAGGATTAGTGTTTAGCAAAAAGCGCCTACCAATTTAGCTCTTAAGTTGAGAATTAACAGGACGAGGTAGACGCAGCCATGAATAATGAACGAACGGTGTACTACAAAGAGGGAGCTGTCAGGACAGTGACCAAAAAGCGGGAAAATCTTGGCTTGTTCAAGTAACAGAACTGAGGCCTGTGTGGTTGGAAATGATTAACAGCTGGGTTTCTGTTCTCACCATTCCAGAGACTGCTTTTGTTAAGAGTTACCAGTGATTATTATGTTGTCAAGTCTAGTGGCCTTTATCTTCTCAGTAGCATTTATCACAACTGATCCATGATTTACTCTTTTTTTTTTTTTTTTTTTGCCTCTTTGACCATTCCTCAGTCTCCTTTGCTGATTTCTTCTGTATTCAACTTAAAAATGTTGGAATTTTAGAGCTCTTACATCTTTTGGCCTCTTCAAGAATCCAATCAAGTCCATGCCATCCAATACCATCTACTTGATGGTAACTCATTTCCAGACCTCTCCCCAAAATATCATCTCAAAGGTAACATAGCCAAACACAAAGTTTGGTTTCCCCTCTTCCACAAAACCTCTTCACCCCTAGTCTACCCATATCAACGAACACCAGCCAGTTGTTATTCAAGCAAAACATTTAAAGATTAGTCTTGATTTCCTCTTTCTCTCACACTTCCTAAATCTGTTTATCCCTATTGACTTTATAACGTATCCTAATTCTTAGCACCCTCATTATTCCTACCTTTCCAAGCCAGCATCAAATATGGCCTATATTACCATGATGTTGTAAAGTTAGTTCCAACTCATAGTGACCCTATATAGGGTTTCAGAGGAGTGGTTGGTGGATTTGGGCCACTGATCTTGCTGCTAAACAAAGAATTGCTGTTAAGTGCAGTTGAGTGGTTTCTGATTTCACAGAGACCCTGTATAGAGTTTCTGAGGCTTTTGTGTGTGTGAGAGAGAGCAGATTCTCAAGCAGAACAGCTGGTGGGCTCCAACGGCCAACAATGGAGGTTTCACAGCCCAGTGCTTTTCCTCCCAACAAAGAATTGCCTGCTTTAAAATGTCAGTAGTACCAAAGCTAAGAAACCTTGTATCATTCCTTTGTGGTGGAAAGAGTGTAAAGAACTGAAGGGTCACTGAAAAGAGCCAATTCTGAGTTCCTTTGCCAGGGACTGGGGGTACACATCCCCTTCTTTACCTAGGAAATCCTCAGGAGGAAAGATGGCCCTTCGCTAAAATTTTAAATGGCTTGCAATTTTACCAGAATTAAAATATGAACTCCTCACACTGTTTTAAAAAACAATTCAGATCTAGTCTGTGCCTCAGACCTTATTTCACTCTATCCCTAGTCCTCTATACTCTAGCTCTAAATCTGCCAAACTTGTTCTCATCTCAGAGCATTTGCCAGGAAATATGTCTAGAATACTCTTGAAGCCTATTTCTATGTGGCTAGCTTTTAATCATCAGTTAGATTTCAGCTTAAACATCAAACTTGTTGTTAAATGCCATCAAGTCGGCTCTGACTCATTGCAACGCTGTATAGGGTTTCCTTAATGGCTGGTGAGTTTGAGCAGCTGACTGTGCATGCAGTCCAGTGCTTATTCTACTGCGTTACAGCAAGAATCCAATGTCACATGACTCTGATTTCTCTGCATAACTACTTCATTTGTCTGTCTACAACACTAGAGTATGGGTTCCATGATAACAGAAAGGTTTTGTCTTGTTTAGTGCTCCCTAGTTCACCCTCTGCTCCGCGGGAGAAAGATGAGGCTCTCTACTCCCGTAAAGATTTACACCCTCGGAAACCCTGTACAGGGTCGCTATGAGTCGGTTCCGACTCCACGGCACATAACAACAACAACAACAGTTCACCCTCAGACACTGCCTGGCTTCAGAATAGGTGCGCACTAGACATACTGATTAAATGACATGTTAAGTCTGGGATGCTTATCTACCTAAGTGAAAAGATAGAATAGACAAACTACTGAGAAGTTCTGGCGAAAGATTCAGATTGGAAAATTGAAAATAAAAATATTTTTTTAATTCATAGGTCTTGATTACGTACGATAATCCTAGAGTCTTCAAATCGACACACCAGTTATTACCATGGCCAGCCGAGAAGAGGCTTGGAAAAGAGCCTTTCCTGAACCCTTTTTGTGGTCCCACCATCCCCAAATACACACACAGCTAGAGTCCTCAGAGGAGAAAAAAGGCCTTCCCAACCGGCAGACACTCATCCCCGCACACGGGGCCAACACGCACCTCTAGGAGATCCATCTTGGGCGGCTGCGACCCTCTTGGTGAGCGGTGTGCGCTTGGACCCGACAGCTTGGGTCTGCAGTCCATAAGAGAACTGCGGCGGGTCGTTCCAGCCACGCTCCTTGTTGCCTTCGGAAGAGAGGGGACGCGTAATATGTGGATAGGGGAGTTGGAGGCTCCGCACCCCGCATTGTAACCGCCCCTCATCTGGGTAGGGATGAAGACATAGGAACCCCCAGCCAGTCGACAGCCCTCACCTGGCTTCACGTACAGCTCCGCCATCTCCACTTCCGCACCGCCAGCGGGGCAGCGCGTCACTTCCGGGGCGGCTGCACAACTGTTTAGACGCTCCCGAGCCAGGCCAAGTGCCTGGAGCGATGTGACACTCAATTTATAGTAGTTATTTAAAATCGTGGGAGCCGCTGTGGGGGCCGTTTGCCATCCATTAAGAAGCTTGAAATGCCCTCCAAGTAATAACCTACCGGGCCCTGATTACAAGTGCGATACTTTTCCAGAAGCCAACGCTCTCGAAAGCCCTAGCCCTCTCTGGGTCCAATCTTCTAATGTCTCCCAGGAGCAAGCTCACAACCACTAGAAGTTCCTTGCCATCACCTCACCTCTGTCCACTGTCCTGTACACTCCCCGCATCTATTTTCTTTGGGCTTGGTAACTAGCAAGGCCTTCCTTTGTAACTCAGGAAGGCTGTAAGACCTCAGACCAGGTTTAAGTGTCTCACCTAAGGTCCTACAACTCTCTAAGACGATCTACTAGTACTACATAAAGGAGCCGCTGGACTTTCATCCGCAAAGTTGGTAGTTCAAACGCACCAGGATTGCTATGGGTCAGAACTGACACAACGGCACTTAACAATCTAGTTCAGCCATTTTTCGTCTCCCTTTTGACACTCTCAGGGAGTGAGGCTCTTGATAATTTTATTACATGCCTGGCACAAGAAAAAACAAAACCTGAATTCACAGCTGTCAAGTTAATTCCGACTCATTGGGACCCTATAGGACAGAGTAGAACCCCTCTATAAGGCTTCAGAGACTAAACCTTTATAGGTGCAGATAACCTCATCTTTCTTCTGAGAAGTAGCTGGTGGGTTCAAACTGCCAATCTTAAAGTTAATAGCCCAGTGCTTAACCCACTTCAGGACCAGGATTCCTTTGGCAGAGAGAAGACCTTAGAAAACAGGTTTGATGAATGAATGAAGCCAGATTTCCATCACACCCATTCCCTCATGTGACTTCAGGCAGCAGTCAACAGACACAAAGATGCTCACTTCACACAGGTTGTTTGCCACAGGCCCAATGTACTCAGTCAGTGAGGTCACTGAAGGATTTTATTTGCAGTGATTCTGCTATAAAGAGTTGCTGAGGTAGAGCCAACTGTCCTGGGCTAGACAAGGGCAAGGAGCACAGGGACCCAGGGAAAGGGAAGCCACAGGCCTAGGTTGTGATGCAGGTCTCTCGGTCATCCATATAAAGTTCATAAATAGGGCAATAAATAGAGTGTGGGCAAGGACCAGAGGAGCAGGCAGAAAAGGTTCCAAGGATGAGAGGCTGTAAGCTCCTGAGGAATGAAGGGATAAAGAGTTGGGCATGGACCCAAAACCTCCTTCCCCAGTCCTCCCAGATAAATTTAGGGCATATGAAGTAGAGAGGGTTTCAGCCGGAAGGCATCAAGAAAAGAGAAGACGCCCCGTTTTCGAGGGGCAGCCCCTGCACCCCCAACACCTCCTTTGAGTAGGGGACGGGGCAGGGGACCTCCTGGGGAGTCCATGGAGCTGGTCCGCTTGAGCCGAAGGCGGGCACGGGCCTGGGCACCCCAAGCCTTGCCCCGAGCTGCAGAGGCCACAAGACACTTCTGGTACTGAACCTAGGAAGAAGGGGAATGTGAAGATCTAGCTAATTTCTGCCCCTGGGCTCTGAAAGCTTCTGCAGGACAGGGAACTGACCAAGGTTTCACTCTGATAGAAGGCTCATAGTTTGCCACATCTGGAGGCCCTACAACATTCCCAGGTAGCTCAATAACAAAAACATGAAAGCCTGACATTGGACCCTTAAGGAGAGCTGGACACAGCACTAAATGCTTTAAATAATGTAATTTAATCCACAATTATTTATGAGACTTCTTATCCCAACTGAAGAAATTGGGATTCAGAGAGAGTGCATGCCTTACCCAAGTTCACTTAGCCAAAAGATAGTAGAACTGAGATTCAAACCCAGTTCTATCCAACTTCAGAGCCTGTGCTCTTAACTACACCTACCACTATATTGTCTCTCCTCCATCTCTTACTGGTTTGAAGTGAGTACTGGCAAAGCGGTCCCTAATCAAGGGGAGGTGTCTAAACCCAAACTCCACTCCCCAGCCAACTGTTCCACTCATCTTTTACTTGAACTGCCTCAATAGAATCCTATTTGGTCTTTTAACCTCCTCATTTCCCACTATACTATATAATAGCTTAAGCAATCTTCCTAAACCACAAACCTGACTTCACTGTGCTGCTCCAAACTATGCATCAGTGGCTCCCACAGACTTTGGAATGAAAAAAAAATTAACTCATTACCCTCAACTATAGGGTCATCCCCCGCCCCCATGACCTTGTTTCTGCCTTCATCTCTCACGACATCTTACACGCAATACACTATATTCTTTTGTTGTTAGATGCTGTAGAATTGGTTCTAGCTCATAGTGACCCTCTGTACATCAGAACTTAACAATGCTCAGTTCTGTGCCATCCTCATAATTGTTGTTACGTTTCAGCCCATTGCAGTTGCCACTGTGTCAATCCATCTCATTGGGGGTTTTCCTCTTTTATACTGACTCTCCACTTTACAAAGCATGATGTCCTTCTTCAGGGACTGGTCCCTCCTGATATGTCTGAAGTATGAGAGACAAAGTCTGGCCATCCTGGCTTCTAAGAAGATTCTATTTTAGATATTCTATCAACTTCCCTTTTACCTTCACAGCTGGGGTTTCTACCCCACTCCCCTGTACTTGGCCAACTCCTTGGACCTTCTACTTTCAATTTTCCATCATCTCTTCCAGGCAGCCTTCTTGAACCTCTGAAGCTGAGTTGGAGTCCCTTCCTCCATTATCCTGTAGTGTACACCTTAACTTCTGTTCTGTCTCTCCTCTATCTTTTGTGTTCTGTGAAGCTATGCCACTCTAACACTGAATTCCCAGGGCAAGTGTGGTATCTGCTTCCTGTAGGTTCTCATATTTGCTGAGTAAGTAGATGAACTAAAGCTAACAGAATACAAATATCCCATACTCAAATGCTTAAAGATGCCAGGAAATAACCTAAATGAGACAAACAAAAGAATGCACACTCCCTCCACAATTCCACCTATAGATTCAAACTTATACAAACAGACTCAGTACCAGAGCACCTGTATTTTAAGAAAAGCAGGAATTACAGTTACTATGTGAAATGCCCTGACCTTTAAATATCAGAAACTAATCAAAACTTTTCAAAAACAGTGTCTGGGCCAAATAAAATATGAGTGAGCCAGAGTCAGCTGGTTTATGATCTCTAAAGCAGCTTCAGGGCAACCCCGCCTCTGCCCCCGCCCCCCACCTCATACCCCAACTCACCATGCAGGCAGCCTGTACAGCTTCGGAGAGTGCGCCTGCATGGGGCTGGCACCAGAAGGCTGCACACTGGAAGCTCTGGCGGCCCAGGTCGGCGATGAGGCCAAAGGTGTGGGGGTCACGGCCAACACCAATGAAAGTCACAAGGCGCACAGGGCACTGCCACAGTGGCTCCTCCTCTGCACCGGCCTCTGCCTGACCACACCAGGCCTAGTCAATATAAGGCCAGGCACTTATATTTGGACCTACTGAGTTCTTCTAGTACCAAGCAGTGACCCCTCAGAACCCTGCCCATCACTCCACAGCCTCCAACCTCACCCTCTGTGGTACCTGAATGGGATGTGCAGTCATGAGGGAGTCAGACACACTGAGTGTGGTGGGAACCCAGGCATCCCAGTCACCCCGGGTGGTCAAGGTACCAATGGCCTCATTCAGCACGTCCATTCCTAGAGGGACATACTCACTGACTACGGTGTCTCCCAGCTGTAGTAAGGCAAGTGTCTGCAAGAAGCGTCAAGGCCCCTCACACTGACTTGGGATTCAGAAAATGGCAACAGGGTCATCAGGCCAGGACTTAGAATCCCGAGTTAGGGCAGTTGCTACTTCTTAGGTCATACCAGGCCATGGGAGCACTCTGGGAAATGGTGGTAGACAAGCCCCCTCCCGCCCTCTTCTAGCCCCTCGGTCCTCACCCATGGCTTTGGTGACTGGCAGGCTCCCCATGTACAGTGCCTCATACTTCTGAGCAGCCTGGCTCACTGCATCCAGCAGCTCCACTGGAATATACATACATGCTCCAAGTTGGCATGGGTGCTCTCAGTCACTCCTTCCTCCACCCTTGGGAGTGGGGCAGAGTCCAGGCCAGAGTAAAGCAAAGAGAATGTAGGCCCATTCATGTTCCTTCTCCAATTCAGGGCTTGGGGTCCGTAAGAAACAAGACACTTCAGAAGTCCCCTATCTCCAGGGAAGTGCTAATAAACCTGAAATACCCTCACCCCACATCTTTCACAAAAGCAGCCTCTTGATGCTGCAATGCAACAGTCCCCATACCTTGCCGTGGCAGGTCTTCGGGGGATATCGGGTCTGGGGAGCAGCAAGGAGCGTCACCACTGACCCCTACTTGTTCTGACAAGATCTAGAACACAAGGCAGCCAGCATAAGGGACAAGAAGGAATGGGAATTAATGTGAGGGACTAACCACCACACTGCCCCAACCACTTTAAAAGCTTCACACTCACTATCATACCCACATCCCCTGTCCCACACCTGGACTTACCTGGGCACAGAGCCCATGCAGGGCACTGGCAATAGCCTTGGCGGGGACGTCACAACGAAACACATGGCACTTGAGCATACAGCTATCTTTGTCACCCGCCACAAAAGCGAAGTCCCTGGCAAGGTCAGAGATTGGGCTGGGGCAGAGATGGGACTAGGGGAGGGGTGGGAAGGAGCCTGTAGAGCCTACAGGTGAAGGATTTGGCAGAGATGGAGCAGGAACGTCATGGCTGGGGTTCCGGGCACCTAGATGTCACTCACCTATCACTGTTCCAGAAGCATGTAGGAGCACAGCAGAGAGTCAGCACAGCTGTTCAGGCTCTCCCCAGTCCATCCCTGCTGAGCTGGGCCCTCCCTTTCCCATTAGGGCTGGACCGGGCAGGGGAGCCAGTGCTTGGGTTCAGGACAGACAATCTGTGTTCAGGGGTTCAAGTATAGGGGATCACAGCCTGCAGGGGGCAGGCCAACTCTTGCTTTGGGAAGTGTAGGGGCCCTCACCGGCCCTTGGAGCTGCCCACACCCCAAACACGGATGTGCACCAGAGGTTGGCAGTGGATCAGACTGTGGTCCAAGGGATTCACCAGGCTCATGGCATCCTTCTTCAGGATCATCAACATGTTCTGGCCCTGGCAAGGAGAGCAATAAACCGAAAGCTTCGATGAAGAGGACTGCCAAGAGGCTCTTCACTTTAAGGCCTTTCCTGGGCCCTGGTCTGAACCTTTGGAGGGTCAAGCCAGCTCACCTCACCCCAGGCACCATCTGGGGGCTGGTTCCGGCTACGGGCCTGGGCCAGCTGCTGGATGCAATTATTGACTGCAATGCTGCTCTTCCCTGGAGCCAGATCCTCCTCAGGTACCTCTACCCAGCCCAGAGATCGGACTGCAAAGCACTGATGGGTTGGGAGAAGGGTCAGGAGGATCCTGAGTGAGTAGGGCTGAAGTAGTGCCACAGCCCGATACAGACAAACACTGAGACACCCTCCCCTCTATTCCTGATCTCCTCTGCTCAGCCCAACACACTGCTGACCTTTCCCTTGGGACCCCTTCAAAACCCTGGACCAGCCCTCAGATCCAAGTCACCTTAGCCCCTGGCTCCATGCTCTGGATGTAGGATTCTTCACCATACCAGGACAGGGAGTTACTGGAACAAAGCAGAGTTGGTGAAAGAACCATACTTCCTACAAGGGCACTGGAGGGGCCCACACTGCTGGAGCAGGCATAGTACATGAGATAGAACTCAGCAGATAGCACCCCAAATATAGGGACACAGAGCAGGGGCAGGGCTCAGGATATATTAAGAAAATGTGACACAGGATGTAGCTTAGAAGTTGTGAGGGGATTTGGAACACATGACCCAGAATACTTAGAAAGCAACAACATGATGTAAAGGTTACCAACTTGAAAGATAGTCCAATATAAGGACCAGAGCCCAAAATCAGCACAAGAGACCCTAGATACATCAGGAACCCTCATGAAAGAGCCAAAATGGTCAAGGTCTACAATATGACGGGTCAAGCCTCAAAATGTGAAAAAAATACCTTGGAACAAGAGATAAAACTCAAAATACCAAGAGAGTCAAGAACATGGGTCAGAGCCAAGAACATAGAACATAGAGTTCAAAACATGGATCACAGCCCAGAACCTGGGCTGAGAAGCAGATTGTAAGTCCAGCTGCATCTTTGAAGGGCAATGGAGCCCTAAGCCTTCCACTCTGCCTGACTCATTCCTCTTACCTCTGGTCCAGTGAGCTCTCCAAGCTGGAGAAGGATCTCCCCTTGGGGGGTCGCAGTGCCCAAACTCCTTCGGTCCCCTGTGGATAGGTGGTTATGTCAGTCTAACCGTAGGTCTATGTCCACACACAGGATCAGGCCTCTTCCTCGCATTTCACCTACCTTGCCTGGGTCCTCTGCATCTCCAGGCTCCCAGGTAGGGCGCTGCCACTGGGTGCTACCACTAGGGACGTGCCAATAGTAAGTACCTGCAGCATCGTGGATCTTCCTCCAGCCAGGGGGCAAGCCTGGCTCCCCCTCCAGGCTCTGGTCTCCCCATAAGTCATCTATAGGAACACAGGATGGGGAATCGTAGGTTCAGAACAACACCGCGCCATAAGCCTCCATCCCAAAGGAAGTAACTCTTAAGCTGCAGGTCCAGACTAAGGGTCCGGGTTCCCCAGTCATGAGGGCATCGCAGTCAGAATTCATTTGTTTCCTTTTCTTCACTCTAAGACATGCTCCTGGTCTTTGAGCCTCGGGTACTCCCTCATCCCCCCTCACTCCCGATCCTCCCACTGGGCCCCTCCGTACACACCATCACAGTTGACCAGAATGATGGCCAGCATGTAATCCTTGCCCAACATAGCGTCCCCGCCGGCCTTAGCCGGCCAGCACTCTAAGCCCAGTACGATCCGGAGCTGCTGCACCTGCTAGCGCTGCCTCTGCGCCGGCGACTGCCAGGCCAGTAGGCGCCGCACAAACACTGGGCGGGGCAGGGTCCCGGGGGCGGGGAGGGGCGGGCCTAAACAGGATAGCCCGCCGAGAAGTGGCGCGTGTAAACAGGCGTTTGGATCTCCGAGTGGGTGCGTGGCTCCGTACGTAGGCTTGGGGGAAGCTACCGTCAACAGAGGACCCAGCAACACCACGGCGCAACTATGAGCTCATCAGGCGGCGGAAGAAATAGAGTACGAAAGTGTAACGCGCGCACGCGCGCACACTACTGAGCTCATCGCGCCCGCACACGCAGGTCACGTGATATCTGCGTTCAGGAGACCGCTAGTAAGGGCAACGCCTCTACCCTTACTAAATATGTCCTAGAGTCTTTCCGCCCTCAGTAAAGATGGTAGTACTGCTTGGCGTGAAAGAAGCGGGCCTGCGCCTGCGCACCAAGTTCCGTGAGGAAGATGGCGGATGACAAGGTGAGTGGACGTGTCGGGATCCAGGTTTGGGGGTGGTCTTCACACTCTGTGTGAAAGTTATAGGAAGAAACGACACTGGATCGGCCCAAGGGTGGAAGTGATTATTGTTTCCCCTGGACTTTCGCGCTTATTGCCTCAACAGTGGGGGAAGGGAGGACTATGGGGGACTGGCTCAACCCTGGATTCTCCAGGTGTCCTATCCCGGAAATCATCATGGTACTATTAGTTGCACATATTTAAAAATACGTTCATCTGATGCACTCCTAGACCCACTCACACGCTTCACACGTTCTTGCAGTGTTGCACGGTCACACTTATCCCCACTCCGCAGCCTCCGAAAATTTTCTCCCGGAAACAAGATGTTTCCAATCCACACGAACACTTAAACCCTCTTTCAAACGCTCCTTTGAGCACGAATTGAATTGCATACGCTCGGAGTCTTGGAGTCTTGGTGTGGCACTGTGGGTTAACGCGCTGGACTGCAAAGTCAGCTTGAAACACAAAGTCGGTGGTTCAAGCTCACCAGCCACTCCTCGGAAACTATACAGGGTTGCTATGGGTTGGAACCTGCTCGATGGCACTTAGCAACAACAATGTTAAAAAAAATTACTCAGTTCATTCACTTAGTTTTGCAATCCTGCCTCTCCAGTCATTCACACTTGAAGGTTACCTTGACTTACAGGAAGGTGGAGAGTAGGAAGCAGAGAAGCCCAAGGAAAGAAACCAAGGTTACCCCTAAATTTACAAATTGCCCCATTATGCTCCATTAGCCTGGAAACCCATTATCACCCATCCATTTACTAAGTACTTGTTTGATGGCAGACACTGAGGACACAGAAAAGACAGACAGGTTGCCACTTTTCAGGCAGCTCCTAGTGTAGTCTGTAGGGCTTTTAAATCAACCTAATTTAAAATACCTTTGCTGTACCTCCTGCCTGTTAATACACTTCTTGCTATATACAGTCCATGTCTCTGTCATAAGTTATTGATGCAGATTCCATCTATCACCCCTCACGGGCTCCCATGTGAATTCTGTGCTCTTCAATGCCTTTTCTTCCTCTACTGCTGCCATCTCAGGAACGTTTTATAAGAACTGGTTTCTCAGGCTCATTCTATCCTCCTCAACCTCCCTCCTAAAAGAATTAATAGAAGAATCAATTGCCAGAGAGAATACTGATATCAATTCCTAAAAGAATTGATAGGAGATGGGATTGGGTCAGTCTACTGGAGCCAACCTCTCTCTTGTCCTAGGATTCTCTCCCCAAGCTTAAGGATCTGGCCTTTCTCAAGAATCAGCTAGAGCACCTGCAGCGGCGTGTAGAAGACGAAGTGAACAGTGGCATGGGCCAGGTAGGGGTCACCTCCCTTTCCTTTCAGCTTTATTTCCCAATATGTTTCTGATGGTTGGAATGATTATTGAGGACCTATTCTCAGTGACCAAGGGAAGTTTTTCTGAGAAAATGGCACTTGCGCTGAGGTCTTAAGTGTAAGAAGGGATTAACTAGATGACAAGGGAAGGAAAGAACATTTCTGTAGGATGGTAGTGGGAGGTAGCATGATGAATGTGAGGGGTAAAAGGAGTTTGGTTTGGCTGGAGTCGTGGGGAGCATGGATAAAGAAGCAGGCAAGTAGCCTTTAAGAGTCTTTGAGTACTTCTCTGTGGCCTTGGCATTGGAGTTCTTTGGTTAGAGCATTCTGATCTAGGTTTCTGAGATTGTGTTGTCAGAATTCCTAGGTTCTTTTTCTGACTCCAGAACTCTGAGAAAAAAATTGAATACCATAGATGTCCAGAGTGAGGAAGAGCAGGTTGTGGAATACTCTTAAGACCAACTTGAGTAGCTCTGGGATAGAAAAGGGTGAGAGCCTGGCTGAGTTTCCTCATGTGTTTTCTTCCATAGGATGGTTCGCTCTTATCCTCTCCATTCCTCAAGGGCTTCCTGGCCGGCTATGTGGTAGCCAAACTAAGGGCATCAGCAGTATTGGGCTTTGCCGTGGGCACTTGCACTGGCATCTACGCAGCCCAGGCATATGCTGTGCCCAATGTGGAGAAGACATTGAGAGACTATTTACGATCACTACGCAAGGGACCTGACTAGCTGTGGATCCTATGGGGGAGACAGGATGAGCAACTGGGCCCTGCAGGTAGAGTCCTTTGGACCACAGACACCATATCTCATTTCCCTGGCCGTTACCTATTTGCTGTGTCATTCCTTCCTGAGTTCTTGATTCCCTTCCTGCAGAGGGTGGACAGTGGCTGGTCAGCCTGCACCGTGGATTCTTTCTTTCCTCCCTGACCCCATGGGACTGGCTCCAAGACTGTGGCTTCAAGGGCTACCAGCTCCTTACCTGTTCCAGTCCAGACTGTGGAGTTTATAGCTGATTCACATCCTCAGTATTCTCTCTGGCAATGTGCCACAGCTCCTCCCTCCTGGAAGCTGGCTCCATAACTTGATTTTCTTCTGATGAGTTTCAACCCCCTCCTGCTACCCTTTACTACAGAGGCTACCCAGAATCTGGTATGGGTATGAGTGTAGAGGACGGGGGTTTGCCAGGCCTGGGCCGTCCCAGGCAGGCCCGCTGGACGCTGATGCTACTTCTGTCTACTGCCATGTATGGTGCCCATGCTCCATTGCTGGCACTGTGCCATGTAGATGGTCGAGTGCCCTTCCGGCCCTCTTCAGCCGTGCTCTTGACTGAGTTGACCAAGCTGCTGTTATGCGCTCTCTCCCTCCTGGTGGGTTGGCAAACATGGCCCCAGGGACCCCCATCTTGGCGCCAGGCTGCCCCCTTTGCACTATCAGCCCTGCTCTATGGTGCAAACAACAACTTGGTGATCTACCTTCAACGGTACATGGATCCCAGCACCTACCAGGTGCTGAGCAACCTCAAGATCGGAAGCACAGCCCTATTCTACTGCTTCTGCCTCCGGCACCGCCTCTCCGCACGCCAGGGATTAGCACTGCTGCTGCTGATGGCAGCGGGAGCTTGCTATGCAGCTGGTGGCCTCCAAGACCCCCGGAACGCCTTTCCTGGACCCCCTCCAGCAGCAGCTGCTGGCCCCATGCCCCTGCATATCACCCCACTGGGACTGCTGCTCCTTGTCCTGTATTGCCTCATTTCAGGCTTATCATCTGTATACACAGAGATGCTCATGAAGCGACAGCGGTTGCCCCTAGCACTTCAGAACCTCTTCCTCTACACTTTTGGTGTGCTCCTGAACCTGGGTCTACATGCAGGCAGTGGTCCTGGCCCAGGCCTCCTGGAGGGTTTCTCAGGATGGGCGGCACTTGTGGTGCTGAGCCAGGCACTAAATGGACTGCTCATGTCAGCCGTCATGAAGCACGACAGCAGCATCACGCGCCTCTTTGTTGTGTCCTGCTCACTGGTGGTCAACGCTGTGCTCTCAGCAGCCCTGCTGCGGCTGCAGCTCACAGCCGCCTTCTTCCTGGCCACATTGCTCATTGGCCTGGCTGTGCGCCTCTACTATGGCAGCCGCTAGCCCTGATCACTTCCACGTTGACTCCTGACCCTGAAAATTGGGTGCCACCATCAGAGCCACCTCCTAGCCCTCTCCTCCCCTCAGCAGCCCTGTAACAAGTGCCTTGTGAGAAAATCTGAGGAAGTAGGTGAATGAAGAGATACCCTGGGAGACTTGAAAAGTGAGTTTAGATAAGAACTCCTTACCTCTTCCTCGAAGTTGTTCCAGACTACATAGTTAGAAGAACATCAATATCTAGGTGGGTGTGAGAAGAAACCACCTCCCTGATGGGGGAGGTTTCTTGACTCATCCTGCTGTGGAAGACAGGTAACTTTCTTTGCCTACTGTGTTCACTCTGGCAGAACCCATGTTCCCATGTCTGGTGCTGGCTGCCATGCTGCATGACTTCCCCTAAGGGATACTACCCACAACTGTCATGCAAGAAGACCCAATTACCACAAATTACATAACAGTTTCTGGGTCACTCTGCCAATTTCTATTCCAACAGTACCTGCGTAACATACCTTCTACTCCCTCCACTGTGCTGCTCCCCATACCTAGCTTTTTGCCTGGAAACCCTGTCTCGGGGCTTGACTCAGGGAATGTTGCCCCTGGGCCCTGGCTTAAACCTACACTCCTAACCTCTTTGTTCACCCCGAAGGGCCCTCTTGAAATCCATTATGCCCTTTCAGGCCCCTATGGATAGGTACCATTTTCCCCATTCTGGGTCTTGTATCTGCCTAGCAGTGTTCCAGCTCCTACCAGTCAGGATGTTCTGTAGAGTGACTTAGGCCCAGGTGCAAGAACACTTCTATAGTTCAATCAGTGTCTCTAATTGCATAAGCAATAAGGTCTTAATAAAGCATTCTGGGATGTAGGACAGTTCCTACAATCGGCCGTGGTTGTCCTGTGTCTTCTGTGTTGCACAGCTTTTCACAAACACTTCTACTCCCCTAGTGTCCTGAGTATCTTGATTCTAGGGTAACTTATACTAGGAGGAAATGCTGATTTTATCCAGGTATTGCCAGAGGCATTCTTTCCTTTAGGAACTCTGGAACCCTCACAGAGCTTCTCGTTTTTTCCTGAAGCATAAAACTTGTGCCCTGAAGAATTTAAAGGGCAAAAGGACAAACTAGACTCCAACTTGGAAAACTTGAGATGTTTCTGGCCCCCTTGTTGGTAATTCTGTTTGTCACCTTTCAGGATCAGAAGATTGTCAGGGCCTGCTTCCATGCTAGAATACTTGGTGAGCTTATAATAAAATTAGGTCAGAACCCCCTTCCAAGACTAAGACTCAATGGGAATACCCGAGCAGACCTGTGCTTTGATTGGTGACCACATTGGTCACCGATAAGGGGAAGTGAGGGGAAAACAGCAATGAACCTGCAAGTTAAGGCCAACCACATTCAATAGATTCCTGTGAACCTGGGTGGAGACCTGGTTGGCCAGCAGTATGGCAAGACCTTGGGACTCTGGGCCCAGAGTCAGTGACATAGCCACAAAGAACTAGAGTAGAGTGAAGCATCCAGCTGATAAGACAGGTCATATGTATAAGAACATTCACACTTGCAGATAATACCCACTTGACCAGCCTTCAATGGCTGGATGATCAGAGTTAAACTAGAAGAAAAAAGTAATCTGATACAATTTGATGAACCTGACCTACACCTATGGATGCAGTAGTGCAAAAGAGGGAACAAATCTTTACAGCGAGGATCATTCCCACCGCCCCCGCCCCATACACAGAGTAGACAGGGATGGACAACTTGGACATTGGCTACCCAAAATGGGGGGAGGGGGGCTACAAAGGCAAGAAGTGACTGGCTTACAAGCTTTCAAGAAGAAACCTAGATCCAGAGGGTGTGGAGAAGGTAGAATCTCCACTAAGTAGTATCCAATCTGGGCGAGACTGAGGAAAGGAGATGGGGATAGCACTCAAGTACCATAGTAAGTAATTACTATCAGGACTGACTGTGAGGGTTGGAAATGTAAAGGTAGACATTTTGTAGCAAAAGGAGGGGAGCGGTTGACTTTGCAGTCCAGGAGCAGAGGTCCCTGGAACAATCCAAAGAGAAGAGTGGAGAGCGGGACCCTACCCAGAGAAGCAGTGACGCCAGAGATGATGTGGAGAGATGGAGTGGCTGGGAACTCTAGACCCAGAGAGGGAGAGGGGCTGTGTGCTGACGACCAGGGGACAGGCTTGCAGGGTATATCCTTTGGTTGGTTGATGATGCAATGAAGGGATTGTAACCATGGCAATGTAATGATATACGATAGGATGAATGTAAAGCTAATCTGCCATGTAAACTATCACCTAATTCACAACAAAACATTTAAAGAAAAAATTAGGTCAGGACTACCTCAGACCTACTGAGGCAGTCTTCGGGAATAGGGCATGGGAATCTTTTATATAAAAATAAGCTCCCTGTGGAACACAGCTCTAATCTGAAACGCTTGTGGTCACCATGAATTGATGACAAATGGTTTGATTTTTAGTAATTCTGGTGCACACTGGAACTTGTGAACCACTACTTTATTTGTGTACTATAGAACTACAAACAGTTGAGTTGGAATTCTGGCTCTATCATTTCCTAACTGTTCTTGAGCACCTAATCTCTGAGCTTCAGTTGCTGTATCTCTGAAACGAAAATCAAATGGAACTTAACCTATTGGTAGCTGAAAAGTTTAAATGAAATAATAGGTATTAGGTATGTATGGAGCTGACCTAGTAAAACCTGGAAGTGGTATTAATAATAGCCCATAATGAAGGTTAGCTTGGTGGTTGTGTACTATTTTCATCTCCTCAGTCCCTCAAGAATGAGGTAAAAGGAAGCTGCCCATGAAGGATTCCTGATCCCAAGGCAGAGGAGACTCAGTATGACTGCCCTCACTTAGTCTGCACCCTGATGAAGCTGCTGCTTCCAAACTTGAAGCTCCAGATTCTGTGTGGCCAGCTTGATAGTATCTTGCAGGACATCCACCAACAGGCTGCGGTGGTTTTGTTCCGCAGTCATAGCTTTCTCCTCCCACAGCCTCTGCCAGGCCCGGAACACCTGTGCCCAGATTCAGAGATGCTGGTTGGTCAGGTAGCTTGGGAACCAGCTCAAGGCCTGCCCTCGGCTCCCACTGACCTGTAGCACATGGCATGTCCGAGCTCGGGCAGCCTGCACATGCAGGTCATAGAGTGCTACCAGGTCCTGTTCTGCAGCATCCCGCTCTGCCTGAAGGCCCTCCAACTGGAGTCGCAGCACTCTGTGTGCCTGGTGCCAGCTCTCCTCCTCAGAGGCCTTCAGTGATAAGACGTGTGGTTGGCCGAAGGCTGCCTGTGTGCCAGGCACATTTTATCCAGTAACAGCCATGTGGGTAGCTGTCATTTTACAGCTTTGGAAACAGTGGCTCAGAGAAGTCACTTTAACTTGTTCAAAAGCTAGTGAGGGACAGAGCTGACATGAAACATACCTTTCAATGGTTCACCATGATCCTGAGGTATGGCACAGGAGGCCCTTGTCTCTCAGCCTTGCCTGTGACTATCTACTTGCTGGGTCCAAGCCAGACCTGACAATTAGGGTTTGCAGAACCCATGCCTTCCCTCTGGCCCCTTGTACATATAAAATTGTCCTGTCTTAGAACATGACTCCCAACCCACTAGTTGTATTTGTTTCTTAATTCATATAAATTAAATTTATTTAGTGCTCTATGTAATGAGCCAAAACTGCTCTTAGGGAGTTCAGAGTTCATTGAATTCCCCAGGCTGACTTCTGTCCTTAAGTTTCAGCGTAAATGGCATCTCCTTTGATCAACTCCAGCCTGAGTGAGGTACTCCTTTGTTCCCACAAGCCCCTCACTCCTCCCAACACAGGACTTGGTACTGAGAATTGCCTCATCACTCCTCCACAAAGCCATGAGGATCCTGAGAGACGTATGGGCTAGTCTGTTGTCATTGTACTAGATCTTCCTTACTTGATCCCTCATCACCTTCCCAGACCTTTGCCCTGGTCACCTACCACTTCGTCCTTCCATTCCAAATGCTTCAACTCTTCTCTGATCCGAATTTGGTGTTGCTCTCGCAATCTCTGCCTCTGGGCCCGGGCTAGGAAGAACTGCAGGGCCACATCTGGGACCTGCTGGGTCTCAGTGGGGTCAGTCTAAGCTCAGACTGTATCTATCCCAGGCATGCACACAGCACGGAGACACAGAACCCCAATTTTCAGCACTCCACTAACAAGGCTGCTGCTCCCAGAGCCATGCCCAGGATAAACCAGGGCAGAAACTCAGGAGGCAGTGGGCAGACACATGGACTGGCTCTACCAACAGATGCCATAGAGGCTTTGAGGATCCCATGCCCCTAATCCAGTCCAGTAGACAAAAGGTTCCTTCCTCTACCCCTCCCTTAGGGATCCAGTAGCCCTTCAGGTCCTTCAGGTCCTGGAAGCTCTATTTCTCCATGGTGTCAGGGGAAGGTAAGCAGGGAGGCAGATTACCTGGGGTATACAATACCCGTCACCCCCACAGCATGGCTTCCAGTTGTTCCTGGGATGATAATGAGATGTTACCTGTTCTTCAGCATTCCTGAGAGGATGGTTTTGGTAGCACCAAGGTCCTAGAGATGCTGTTCTTCCTACAATTAGAAGAAAATGTGCTTTAGCACAGCAGATGTGGAAAAGACCTCCACCTCCACCCTGAATCCCATACCCACCGTGTCGCTTCTGCTGGACACCAGGACTGTGACTTGCTACTGAATCCATCATCTGCAGAGGAAGTATTGGGAGTGCAAATTCACACTCCCTCCTAGCAGAATATGTTAAACTCAGGGTTTTGAATCACATTGGGAGCCAGCTACTCCTTTTCTTAGCTATATGACACAGGTGACTAGCCTTTTGAGACTCCATTGTTACCTCCATAAAATGGATCTGATAAAAGCCCCAATCTCAGAAAGTTGAGATAAAGCATTGAGCAGTGTCAGGCACTAGCTCAATAAATGGGACAAACATTTAGGCCCAGAGCTATTAACAACAAAAAAA